AAGAAATCACGTTATAACCATGTTTCGTTACTTTATCTTTTGAGATCATTAAACATAATTTAGTTTAACAAGTTACATACACGTTTTTTTTTAAAATAACTTGTAAATAGTTTATCATAGCTCTTTTTCAATTGTGCTCTTACATATACATTGTATCTGATTGAGACTCTATATATGTTTTGTGTGTGTGTATATATATATATATATATAGAGAGAGAGAGAGAGAGAGAGAGAGAGGGGAAGGTTAATCCCCCTGAAATATGAAAAACTATTGAACATTTTGTGAACTATATATCTGTACGATAATGTAAATGGGCATAAAAGTAATTTAAGTTGTTCATTGGTTTCTATGTACGCGCGCATGTTTCGCACATGTATATACCAGAGAAATTTCATTGAAATTATCTGTATGCATATGTTATACTGTCCAAATGAATGGTTACATGTGCTATTCAGTTCTTCATTTTTTGTGGTTCTCTTTTGAAACTGATCCTATATATATATATATATTACAAAAATGTCCTTTATATTTTCACTTTAGGTTATTTCAACTGTTATTTAGCATTTCAGTTAGTTTTGTAAACAAGGCTAATTTATTAGATAGAATTTGATTTTTCATTTAACAACTAACTGATCAACTATTTTAGCAAACATAAATACATAATATATGGTTTTGATGCAATAAGGGTAAGGCCATTAAATGGGCTTGGGCCTATTACAATCTTCTAATGGCCCATTAGTTGGATCTTGGCTTAATGGGTTTGGGATTGTGTGTTAGTTCTTTTTTGTTGGGCTTGTTATAAATGGGCCTGAACCCAAAAGAATTTGCTTAATCCAAGTTCATTCCGTAACCGGTCCTTGATCAAACCGAGCTTGGATTAGACCTCGACGACCAATCACAGACCGGCCTTCAATTTGGCTCGGTCGGTTTTCAATTCTTCTGAACCTTTTTAATAAATAAATAAATAAATGATTTTATGTTCAAAATTAAATTTATAGAGTATTTATTTAGTTTGACTAGAAGGGTACTCGCGCAATGCAATGATATATATCTTGATTTTAATTTTTCGTTTTATATTTTGGGTCTATCGATGTTATAATGCAACTTTATATGGTTTTGAGAAAAAAATGTTTTTATTTTTGAATGAAATATAAATTTGAAGATATTATAAAATTTTGAAGATGTTTATTCGCAGTTAGTTACACGAATTCAAATATGAAGTTTTAATAAGTTGTATTTATGCATAATTTACTTGTAATCTTAAATTTTAAGTAATATATATCAATATACAATACTTCATGTATAAAAAATTATTTTTAAAAGTTTTTGTCATATATTTTATAATATAGTATAAATAACTTTTTCAATTATTTCCTTTTATGTTGAAATTGAATTAGTTTTTATTAATTAGCATAAAGCATCTTCATCAAAAGTAAAAATCTGCTTCCAACAACTTTCACATTTTAAAATTATAATATTAATTAAATTAATTAAATATTCAATAAAAAAACATTTAATCTTTAAAGTTTTTAAGTACTAAATAAAAAAATGATCTTTTTTCCTAATCAATCATTTTTGGCAATTTTTTCAGATTCCAAGAACTACAAGTTCTCTTTGAAACTTTCTTCGTTTGGAGAATTTGTTTGTAAAATCTCTATTTTTAAGAATCTGTTGCAGATATTTTTATTAACTGATTTGCTAAAGACAGTTTTAATTATTAAGAGCATTTTTAATAAAATTTTCAAAATAAAGAATTAAAAGTCAAAATCTCTAAAGAAAATATAATTTTTCATCTCAGAAAAAATGAAAGTGTTTTCATATTCAATAGAACATTAAAAGACTAAAAAAATGGAGGTAAAAAATATTGGTCTCTATATTCGGAGGTCAATAAAATAGACTTCCTCATAAACATATATTAATATAATATTAGGTTTCTTTTTATTTATATATTGATTAATAATTGTTTTTTATTATTATTATTATTATTATTATTATTATTATTATTATTATTATTATTATTATTATTATTATTATTATTATTATTAGATTAAAGATGATTTTTAGTGTTCTTTGTAACGGATTGTTGAAATTGATTTTTTTAGTGTTCAATGGATACATCATCTTTAATATTATATTTTTTAGTAATAGGTTGAAGATGCCCTAACGGCTTCTCCATTTTTGGAAATGAAAAGTTCAAAACTTTTTTATTTTGAATTGTTTAGTTTCTAAACAATCTTTTTGGTGAAAAAAATATTAAATTTTCTACATTTTGAATGATTAAGTTTTTAAATATTTTTTTTGAATGGAAAAACCATTAAACTTTCACATTTTAAATGATTAACACCCTGATTTTAAAAAATAAATAAATAGACAATCAAACGTTTACTAGTTGGTTAATGTATGTTGGGTTAACAAGATGTAGGTAACCAATTTATAAAAGTACCATGGTTTATTTATTATAAAAATATTCAGAAACTTAATCAATCAATGAAAAAGTTTAATGATTTTTTTCATATAAAAATAGAAATTTTAATAGTTTTTCATTTAAAAAAGTAGTTCAGGGATTTAAATAAAGTTTAATGATTTTTTCATATAAAAATAGAAATTTTAATAGTTTTTCATTAAAAAAAAATAGTTCAGGGATTTAATTATTTAAAATATGAAGGTTTAATAGTTTTTTATTTAAAAAATAATTTAAATATTAAATCATTAAAGTTTGTTGCGTTTTCTTTTTGGAAATTTTCCATTTTTGAAAATTATAATATGAATAATAATATTAAAATATTTAATGTTTTTCATAAAATATTACTTTCTCTTTATTACACATTTAATTTTCAAAGATTTTGGTTGGTATGAAAAATAAAAAATATTTTTTTTATAAATAACTAAAAGGGTACTCTAGGAATGGCAACGGGTCGGGTTCAGGCCGGGTATTGGTATCCCCGTCCCCGAAACCGATAGCTAAAATCGTCCCCGTAACCATCCCGATCCCCGTCGGGGATCTTATCGGGGATCCCCATCGGGTCCCCGCGGTTTCCCCGATCCCCGTTGGGGAACCCGTTAAGGGTAAAAATTCTCTTTTTCATCGTTGGTTATAACCGAACCCGAACCCGAAACCCAAAACCGATATGAAATAAATTACAATATGTTAATTTTCACAATTAAAAGTAATTACAATTTTTTTAAAGATCTAAGTTTAAATGTCTCAAACATAATTGAACCAATTACAAACAATGTATTAGATTATAATATAAAATTAAACAAAAATTCGAACATCATATAACTAAAATCACGGTTTTTGACAAATAAACTAGACTTTTCGTGAGCTTTATTTGAGTTGTTGAGGTGAGCATCTCCAATGGGGTGTCATGGGGAGTTTAATGGGAACCATGACATGCATCATGCATTGTGAAGGGTGTTATGAGGAGTTTAATGGGCATTGCACGCATCATAGGGAGATATTACATTAATTTTTATTTTTATTTTTCTTAATTTATAAAAACAACATAATTAATAAAACATTTCATTAATTTCAAAATACATTACATTAATAAGATATTACATTAATTTTAAAATACATTACATAAACTACATTTAGTTTTAATTTCATTTTCTAGCTATGGTACTTTTTAACTGATGTATTTTAGTCTCATACTTTTTATTAAATGTATTTTAATTTCGTTTCATTTTCATTTTAATGTATTATTCCTTGTTTTTAGTAGATTTTTAAATTTGTTGGTAAAATTATATTTATAGATAATATATATATATATATATATATGATGTGGAAATCCATTAAACTCATTGGAGTGTGGGTATAAAATGATAGAGTTGTATGGTGAGTGGAATGCTGATGTGGCAGTCCATGACACTCTGGTAGAGTGTCATGCACTGGAGATGCCCTAAAGTGGATAATTTTTTTTAAAAAATTAATGTTACTTATTTTAAAGATATTATATATATATATATATATATACATATCGGGCCGGACCGGGCCGGTGATCACCGTCCCCGCCCCCGTCCCCGTTGAAATCCCCGTCCCGTCCCCAATAAAATGTCCCCGAACCCGGCCCGAAAGTTTCGGTTTTCGGTTTTCACCGTCGGTTTCGGTTTTTTTTGCCATTCCTAGGGTACTCGTGCAATGCAGCGAGATAAAATTTTATTTTAATATTTAATTTCTATTATTTGTCTCTATTGATGTAATATAATTTTATGTGGTTTTGATAAAGCGATAATGTTTTTATTTTTGAATGAAATATAAATTTGAAGATATCATAAAAAATATAAAAAAATCGATATTACTATTAAATTAACTATTTAATAGTTTTCGTTTTTTTATGTAACTTTTTTAATTCAATTGTTTATTATAATTTAATTTAGATATAATAACAAAGTAATTTATGGTTTAATAATATAATTTTTATTGTAGATAATAATTAAATATTCGGTTAGAAATTCGATAATTATCCTAATTATTTTTTAGATTTTTTATATTTTAAAATGAGATGTTTATCCTCTATTTATTTGATTATGTTTATCCGTAGTTAGTTACACGAATTCAAACATAAAGCTTTAATAAGTTGTACTTAATGCATAATTTACTTATAATCTTGAATTTTAAGTAATATACATCAATATACAGTATTTTATGTATAAAAAATGGTTTTTAATTTTTTTTGTTAAATGCTTTATAATATAGTATAGATAAATAATGAGTTGTGAAGATTCCTTCAAATGTAAAAAATTTCACCTTTTATCAATTATTTTTTATGTTTTAAAGAATTCATTTTTGGAAATTATAATATAAATTTCTGATTAAAAAATAAATATTATTAAAAATAAAATTGGCAATTGGTTTAAAAGAAATGGTTGAAAGAATTTGGCGGTACGCGTTTACGCAAGCAACGAACGTTGGGTTGATTAACAGCACGAATATACTCTCTTTTTCTCTGTCTCTTTGGGGGTTTTACCTTATCTTCTTTCAAACATCAAACCCTCTGTTTCTTTCAATGTCGAATCCCCAAATCATTCGCCACAAAAATCAACCTAAATTAACTTGGAAGCAAATTCCTGGCCTCCGACCTCTCTCATCTCACAAAAATCACCACCTTCAATGGCGTCGTGGTGGTGGTGCTGGTTTTGCTACCGTTTCCATGATGGAGAAGACGCTAGAATTTGAACCCACCCCCGCACAGCTCTGGAAACATCCCCTGGCAATTGTTGCTTTAGTGCCTAAAGACGCCGCCGTTTTTGCTGCCGGTGCGCTCTCCGGTGCTGCTGCTAAAACGGTTACTGCGCCTCTTGACCGGATTAAACTCATCATGCAGGTGAATTTTTTTTGTACCTAATTTTGAAATTTTGTAAGGGCGGTCGCTGTTGGTGCTGAATTGAAATTGTGTTTTGTGTTATTTAAATGATGCTGGTGGTGGTGATGCTGACATTTGCCGCAGCATATAAATTTCTTGTGTAGTTAAATAATGTGAGCTGTTCCTTTTGTTAAATGCAACTTGTAATAAAGAAATATTCATGGATAGCCTAATTCTACACTCTACGACTCAACACTTTGGGACAATCTGTGTCTGTCTTGCCTCAGTTGGACGGGGCATGTTGGAGTCTCACGTCATTTCTGCTCAATATGTATTGGAACCTTCCTTTTTTCCTCAATGTCTCTTTTCGGAGAGTAGTCTAATGGGGTTCCACATGTTCCTCACAACTCTTTCCGCATCCAGTTTTGAATCCAAGTGGGATTCAGTTTTCCGGTTATGAAGGTCTTCTTTTTTCTGAATCAATGAAAAGAAAGAAGTCCCGGATGTAAAGAAACAAGTATAATAGTACTCCCTTTGGAAAAGTGATCTCAAACCTACAACTTTTCATAAATATAATTCGTACAGAGTTTTGTTAGTAATTTATCACCACCACTTTCAGGTTTTCTTTAGAAAATATGTTTATGAAACCAATGTTTATAGAAACTTTTGATGGCATGAGTACTCAATGAATTCATGTTTCCTCATGGATATTTCTATTTCAATTTTAGTAACAGTTGTTTGCAAAGTAAAAATATACATGTTTTTGGGAAGCCACATGATGTTCCTTTTATGTCATTTGTTGGCCTTAGTAACAGTTGTTTGCAAGGTTTAGCCCAAAAGAATAACCTTCGCAGTTGCTCTAAGGATCAAGGCTCTGTTTCATATGGGAGATTCTTCTGAGTCATTATAACATCTCTTTGTTTGCAGACTCATGGTTTAAGAGTCGGGCAAGAAAGTGCAAAGAAAACACTTGGATTTATACAGGTATGTTTATATTTATCTTACCTATTCTCCCCCTTTCATTTCACATCCTTTACTCTTAATCTTTGTGTATCATTACTGGTATCATTTGCATGTTTACCACCACTTAGTTACTCCCTCTGTCCCAAAATAAGCTTCTATATTTCTTAGTTTGTCCCAAAATAAGTGTCACCTTCAAAAGTAAGTGCCTACTTTCCAATTCTACCGTTAGTTAGGAGCTGGGGAAATTCATTACTTCTTCTATTATGAAGGGTAAAATTGTCATTTAGTTAATTAAGACGCGTAATAGTTATGCACTTCTAAAACCGTGTGACTTTTTCCTGTTCACCTTAGATCTGTTTTCTTGCATATGTTTATCGTTGATATTTGGAAATGGATTGCAGGCCTTCGTATCTATAGGGAAGCAAGAAGGCATTAAAGGATATTGGAAGGGTAACTTTGCTCAGGTGCTTAGACCAAATAGCTTTCATAATTTTGTTTCCAAAAAACTATTTCTGTTATATTTGTCATTGAAATGCTTATATTGTTGCTAGTTCTATGGACCTTTTTTCTTACTCTCTGCGCGTTCCATGAAATTGCAACAATTCCCATTTAAAGGGTGTCTTGTGAAAATTGCAATATCTCATTCTTTTGGGAAAGATTTCAAACTGAAATGCCTGATGCTAATTATTTTGGTGCACAAGATTCAACCTTTTTCTCATCAAGGCGAAGGGTGTTTTAGACATTTAACTGATAGGCAAACTATTCTATCAAACAAGTGAAATAGTTTTGTTTGATTGGCTCTTATCGAAATTAATCAACTGATGCAGGTAGTACGTGTCCTTCCTTATAGCGCAGTCCAACTGTTTGCTTATGACACCTATAAGGTATGAAAAATATTGTTTCGGAGTTCTTGTAAGTGCTATTTGATACCTGTATATACAAATGATGAAAATATACGCGTTTAAAACTTACTGTAACCATGCAGAAACTTTTTAAAGGAACGGATGACGAGCTTTCTCTTATTGGAAGATTAGCAGCAGGTGCCTGTGCTGGCATGACTTCAACTCTCGTAAGATTAGACCTAATGTTACCATGCTCAAATCTTTTGATAATAATATTCTCATTTTTGTAAATGTGGGTATCCAGGCCAACTTGCCCGCACGCACCTTGACTAATCCCTTGGGGCCCTAAAGATTATAGATACTCCTCAATATATTCTTTGATACATATCAGAATATGTATTATGTCGATGAGTATAGTCATCTAGGCAGTATGCAAGTAGATATGCATTAATGCATCTGAAATTCATATAGTGTGTATGCATCAATGAATATGCTGGTTCTCAAGGTTCTTGAAATACTTACGGTTTTCATGTGAACCTGCCCTTATATGTATATATGTATCTATTTATTTGTTTGTCCATGCTTTTACATATAGCAGTGTTAACCTTGGAGATTATTGCAGGTGACGTACCCGCTAGATGTCCTCAGATTACGATTGGCAGTTGATCCCGGGTATCAAACAATGACAGATGTAAGATTGATGGTTATGATTTTACTTCCGTCAAAATGCTTACGTTTTCAAGATGGATGTTACCGTAATTTCAGGTTTTTGTAAAGATGCTAAAAGAGGAAGGCTTGGGATCTTTCTATAGGGGTCTTGGACCTTCTCTTATCGGAATCGCCCCATATGTTGCGGTCAACTTTTGTGTTTTCGACTTGTGAGTTATCATCCTTTTAACAGTTATTCAATGGAATAGCCAAGATACAATTTCAATCCAAAAAAAGGTTGACTTTTAAGGTCAAATGAGTCATTTTTCTGAAGTCAAAATCAACATGATTGGCTTTATTTTGAACAATTGACATATCATTGTTGGTAGTTCTTCCTATATTATTCAACGTGATACCCTTGTTTCCCTTTAAATTCTGTTAATCAACGTCTACTTTGAACACCAGAAAATGACCCATTTGACCAAAAACGTCAAACACCTGATGCACACATCCTATTGTAGCACCTTTATATAAGGACGCACAGTTATTTGGTTCTAAAACTCAAGTCCTATAAAACAGGTTATTAGGACATTTAGACATCTTTGGTGTCCTATAAAGCTGATTACAATTCTATGTATGTATATTTGATGATACCAGGGTGAAGAAGTCTTTGCCAGAAAAGTTTCGAAACAAAGCTGAAGCATCAGTACTGACGGCCTTCGTGGCAGCCACCGTTGCAACACTTACATGCTACCCATTGGATACTATCAGAAGACAAATGCAAATGAGGGGTACACCTTACAAAAGCGTTTTAGACGCGTTTCCAGGTAATGCCTGCCACTCATCTCGCATTATTCTTCACGTTAACCCTTGGGCACGTTAACCGGTAAGACCTTGAGTTTGCTCCCAGTGGTCACCTGTTCTACTGGAGGTTTGTCTGTCCATTAACTTCGGACACCCACGTTTATCCAAATAATTCATCAAGTTTTTTCATTTTAGATTTTTTAGAAAAATATGCGTAAAACAAACTTCTTGATTCATTTCAAGGAGATTTTCTTAATTTAAATTTAAATCTTTTGCAGCCTACATTCAAAAAGAACACCTATAAGATTTTTATTTCGATTACATTGTCCAGGTATCATCGCTCGTGATGGTGTAGCTGGATTATACAGAGGTTTTGTGCCGAATGCTTTGAAAACCTTACCAAACAGCAGGTAGACTTACAAAAGTATTTCTGTATGCTTTCTAGGCTTCACAGGAACAACCTCTCTACCCTCCGGGTCATAATGGTCTGTGTACATCCTTCCCTCAGTCTCTACCTCTGTGTGGGATACACTGAGTTCGTTACGTTTTATTAGGCTTCTTCTACTTGTTTTAGTGTTGGGTGACAAGTGTGGACAATATTCAGTATATCCCACCCAAAAGTAAGGTCGGAGGGGTAATATGTATGCATATCTTTCTTCTGTCTCAAGAGACAGAGAGCTTGGTTCCGAAAAGACCACTAGCTTGCGAAAAAGATTTAGCAGAAGATTTAGAAAACATAACTTGAGCCTTTTCAAAGACACGAGTGTAAATATATTTGTCATTTAATAAAGTAGACGAATTATGTATTAATATTTTTCTTTATGTTTTGCAGCATTAAGCTGACTACCTTCGATGCTATGAAACGCATGATCTCCGCAAGCGAGAAAGAGTTCCAAAGAATTTTGGAAGAAAACCGCAACGAACAAAAGCAGAGCGCCAATGATTCGACTTTTTAGATATATTAATTCGTTTTCTCTAAGTTATCATTATCCTTGTGTCAATTATCTAAGGATTTATCAGTTTTTTTCCAGAAACATCAATTTTTGCCGGCATCTTTTCCCGCCAAAATCATTTGTATGATATGTGAGGTTTCTTGATCGTTTAGTCACCGGCTTCTTTGCGACTAGCGTTGATGGGTATTTTTGACATTTATAATTCATTACCTTTTTTCGTTCTTATAATCTATTGTTTTTTTCATTCTTATGGTTTACAGTTCATTTTCTATTTTTGTTCTTCATACTTAAAAGTAGTATTTTGGCTTCAAAGATGAAAATAGAAATGAATTGCAAATCTTAAGAATAAAAACCGAAATTTTGATATCATGAGGACCAAATCCAAATTTTTAACAAGAACATAATTTACTCTTATTTCCTATTAGTTTAGTGAATATATTGGCTTTCATATCCCATGACAATTACGATTTTCTCTCTCTTGCAATATTTGTTTCTGTATATATATGACAATAACTTGGTCTGACGCACTTGAGTTTCTTATGAGTTGACTCAGCGAGTTAGAAAAAATTAGAAGGTAAGTCCGCACTAAAAAAAAGTCATGGCCAAATCGGCCTAGGATCGTCAGAGGACCGGAACCAGGAAAGGCCCTAGCCCGGGACCTGTAAGGACCGGTTATGGTACCGAAAACCTGGATCGGTTGGGGTTTTTGGCAGTTTTGGGACCGGGACTGGTTATGGGACCGGCCTGTCCCGGCCCGAAAATTCAAATAATTTTATAAATAAATATATTTTTAAATAATGTTATAATGTATTTTTTAAGACAACATAATTTTAATTACATTAAAATGCATTTTTAAAAAGTGTATTTGAGTGACTCAATTACTAATTTTATAATGTATTAAAAATATATATCATTAAAAAAATTATTTTTTAATGTCGGTACCGGCAGCCTATAACCGATTATGAAGAACCTTGATCAATCTTACCATTTTCGACCGGGGCCGAGACCGGTTATGGCCGGTTACGAGAAAGCTTGGGATCAATTAGGACCGGCCCGAGACCGATTTTTGGCCACCACTACTAAAAAGAAGTACCAACCCCGCTTCCTTTTTTAAATGAGTAAAATGCATTAAAATACAAAAAAAATTGGTTTCTCAATTAGTGAAACAAACTTTGAATAAAATAGGAAAAAATAAAGGTTTATTACATCAATTGAGAAAAACCAAAGATCGTTACTCTAAATAAGAAGTAAACCAAACTTCGTTACATTTCAACACATTTTACCCTTTTTTTTTCTAATTCGTCCCATCTCATCTCCAAAGTATCAACCATTTGGCAATTGGGTGATATTTAACATTTGATKATTTGGGTTTAGGAGTTTCAAGATTGCAGCTACATGTCACAATCGACTTGGACGTAGATATTATTTATAAAAGACTGTCATGACCCAAGATACAAGTTACTAGCTGAAAACTTTCAAGCTGAATATGTGAATTCTTCGACCATGTATTGTTGTTATTGATTTTTAAACCTCGGAATTTTCTATTTTTTCTTGTTATTAGAGGAGTATGTACCGATTTTATGGCATTTACTACATGGGTATTAGATTAATTTGGAGTATTAGTCATGTAGACATGGATGCACACCAACTGTTTGATTTGTCAGAGCAGTGTTAGTATTCCAGACAGTTGGACATTCAGTTACTTTTACAACTATAATCAAACTTCCATTTTAGCCTTCACACTTTGAACTTTTTAATTTGACAGTCTTAAAAGAAACTCAGGGCATATTAATCATCTACCTCGATTGAACTTAAGTTGGTCAGTATTAATTTAGTCTGATTGACAAAAAGAGAATTTGTTGCATTAAATTGGAAATAAACCATTTGTTGCATGCTGTCCCTATTTGTGAATTCCAAGAGTTACTATATATGTAGGAAATATGTTTTTATCTCCGTACTTATTAGTATTTATTCACATCTTTCCTTCTTGCTCATGTATATTGCATTAACTGCTAGATTTGTGTCATATCAGCATTTATCCTACCTGTTACCTAAGCAATTCATTATATTTTACTGTAGTGCGTAAGTGGATGGTCTAAAATTGCAAACATAATGTTGTAGACGTTTATCAAAACTTGAAATGTTGAAGCGTTGAGGGAAGGGAACGCCCAAAAAGGGACAAGGAAAATGTGCTCAAATATGATTTCGATGAAGGGTCTTGAAACATATAACTCAAAGATCAAGTGGCATGTTCTGAAGCTACAACGATGGTTTGAATTATTCTACACACTTTTTGTATTATAAATAGATATAAGCAGAATTGAAATTTCTGTGAGCGGGTGCACGTTTAAGGTGGATCAAAAGTTCGTAAAATAGTGATTTGATATAGGGAGAAGTCGGTGTGGTTTAATCTATGGAAAAGTCAGTTATGTTGATTTTTAAAATAAAATACATTTTTTTAAAATGGAATCGACCTTGATTCGTTGAATAAATATATGTTATCTGAAAATGAGATAAAAAACAATTTTGAAGATGAATTAATTATATACACAATAAATCACAATATTTATCGACAATGTTGTGAAGGCAACATGTTAATATATTAATATTTTATAATAATCATTGATAAATTAAGATTTCTTTTTAAAATTTAAGTATTTATATCATCTTTAATGTTAAAATCAGATCAATTCATACATTGAAAATATAAAAAATAGATTTCTCCCATTTGGAAATGGTTAATTATTAAGAGGGTGTTTGTGATTGCTTATTTGAAATAATTTATACGTTTCTATAAAAGTCCTTATCAACTTATTATAAGTTAGAATGATTTAACTTCTTTAAAATTTCTTATTACCGGTTTGACACCGGTATAAGCTGTTTATCCAAACACTCAAAAATTCTTATTACCGATATCATACCAAAATAAGTCAATAAGTTATTTTTATAAACAATCACAAACACCCCATAAATAATCAACTTTTAGCACACTATGTGAACCTAATTTGTTTGACGTCAAAGTCACTTATGCGTTACAAGTAATCTTATCATCATCTTCCATGAAAAATTCAATTTCTTTTAATATAAAAGAGCTTTTATAAAGTTCATTCTAGAAAAGGAAAATATTCAATAATATAAACTATTATATAACTTATTAAAATGATTTAAAATTGTACATATATTTTTATTATATTATATTATACATATACATATACATATACATATACATATACATATACATATACATATACAATATTTTCCTTTTCTAAAATAAATATATTCATTGATCAACTTTATAAGCTAATTATCTAACGGTATAAAGTTGCACGGTGACAATTTTATGATTATTGAGAAGTCTCGTGGTAATTTTGTGATTATGAATGTTCAGATTAATTGTAGATCTAATCCAAGGGTTGAGAATTGATTTTACGGGTCTCACGAAAAACCCTTGGTGTCACATGATCTCAAGTCTCTATATATATATATATGTGTGTGTATGTATGTATATCTAATATATGTATATGTATATGTATAATATAATAAAAATGACAAACCCAACTAAGCATATATTGTCATTTTTGCAATTATGAGAAAAATGGCAAATAGAGTATAACATAGTTTGATTGTTTGTAGGAAAGTTTTTGGTGATATAACAACAACTATGTACATAAAATTTCAATGATTAAATATTGTAAGTGATATGATTTTTGAATTATTTTTACACAAATGTTACAATTAAAATTTGGAAAATTATTTAGAATGATACAATGTTTAAATATGAAATTGGCATTATAAAAATAATATAGAGAAAATTAAAGTTTTATAAACGGGGAAAAATATCCGACCTCAATCTTCGGTGGAGATTGGATGGAATCTTCTTCCCGACTGGGATGGGAAGTGGGAGTGGGAGCGGGAGTGGGGATGAGGATGAGGATGAGGATGAGGATGAGGATAAGGTGATCCCGGGTTAGTGAGGGCCAAAAACCGAACCCGGGCTGGGTCGGTCCTTTCCTTACCATTCCTGGGCCTCAACAGTGCCGGTCATAACCAGCCCCACGTAACCGGTCTTGGTCCGGGTCGAAAATACTAAGCCTGGTTAAGTATTCTTATAACCGGTTATGGTTAGCCGGTCCCAGTCCCAACTGGTCCCGACAAATTTTTTTTTATTTAATTTTTTAATGATAGATTTTTTTTAATACATTAAAAAATTTGTAATTGAGTCACTCAAATACACTTTAAAATGCGTTTTATTATAATTAAAACCAAGAATTGTTAGCGTTCTTTTATGTTTTGTAAGTTGGTATGCAAATCTTTCAACCATGACACTTATATATAAGATTTAGAAGGCAAAAAAGACCAAAAAAAACATTCATATAACAACTATATTTTTTTTTAAAAAGGGCTACGTTTTTAAAAATCGGGCCGCGTCGGGCCGGTCCCATAACCGGTCCCGGTCGGCGGTCCTATAACCGGTCCTGGGCAGGGCAGGTCCTTTGTCAGTTCCCATTCTCGATCCTCCGGCAGTCCCGGGTGGGCTGGTTTGACCATCACTATCCTCGGTATCCCCGATCTTGTTGCTATCTTTAATTATTAACATTTCAGTAAATCTAAATCCCAACACTATAACTAATGGATACGGGATATCAGCCCAAACGTATATGTACACAAGCTACTGGTCCGATTGACTTAGGCCGCCAAAAATGTGTTTAAATTGCATACCGAACGGTTGACCATTTTGCAGACCAAGTGTTATCGAAATTAATAGGGTAATCGCTCAAGAACCATATTACTTAAGAATCGTGTAAGAGATCACTTTCCGAATTGATATTTCGACCCGATGCCCAGGTTACACGAAATTAAATATAGGATAAGACTCAAGAGGACACTTCCTTTTCTAGGCACAAAAACGAGAGCAAACTTGCTGTAGAATATGTAAGGATTGTTAAAAAAACGTGCCAAAACATAAGCATAAAAGGTATTTATGTTCATAAAAAATAACCGAAATGACAATTATGCCTTATTATTAGGAGTAGTGGACAATCACAAGAGCTGCATATTAATTGAACATTAACTGCTCAATAACTGTCAAGACACGAGACCAGAAGCAAGACCAACTAGATCCCCCTCTGGCTCTTAACAACTAAAGCCCCTCTAGTTCTTAATCAACCAGAACTTCTGGTCCTTCTGATCAAGTTTTCCACTACATTCTAAGTCCAAAATTACGATTTGGACCTCAAAGGGGGGCTGCCCCTTTGACCCTCACCATTTCGTTGTGTCCGGGGTCATACTCGTCTTATAACAAGTATGCATTATACACCTCCTGACTTGTATTAGAACACAATATAAGACCCCATTAAAACTCGTTGTTACTTCCAATTAGTGATGGCCAATCCGGCCCGGTCTGGCTCGGGACCGCCCCCGGAGGACCGGGACCGGCTAAGGACGGGGCCGACCCAGGACCGGTAAGGACCGGTTATAGGACCGAAAACCTGGACCGATCGGGACCGGGACCGGAACTAGTTATGGCCCGGCCTGATTTTTTAATTAAAAATAGCCGTTTTTATAGCTGTTAGGTAGCCGTTTTTTAGATTTTTTTGCCTTCTAAACACTATAAGTGTCTTGGTTGAGGGATTTACATACCAAGTTCTTAATTCGCAAAAAACGCAAAAAAACATTCACAATTTTTATAAGACGATGTAATTTTAATTATAATAAATCGTATTTTTTAAGTTTTTTTGAATGATCAAATTACAAATTTTATAATGTATTAAAATATATTATAATTTTTTTTATTGACTAGTATCGGCGGCCCGTAACCCGTTACAATAAAGCTTAATCGGGCTCACTTTTTTCAACCGGGACCGGTTATGGCCGGTTCGATCCAACCCAAGATCGATAAGGACCGGTTCGATCCGGCCGGGGACCGGTTTTTGATGATCACTACTTTCAATTATTACACTTAAATGACCTGGTGAGTGGTGATACTAAAATCACCATCACTAAACCGCTAAAAATGGTTCAGTTTGGTTTGATTTAACCGGCTTTTACGGTCATCGATGTTTTTGAAGGCTCCAAGTTGAAATAAGTTTGGATGTTAAAAGATCTAACATTATAATGTCTTTTTTTTGTCTTGTGGTTGGAGGTTATCGACTTTTGTGTCTATCTACAGAGCACCTTTATATATACTGACCAACATCAGCTGAGAGAGAAAGAGAGAGAGAGAGAGGTATGGCGGAGGTGGACAAAGACGGAGGATCAGCGGCAGCAGCAGGTGGCGGTGGAAAAGCACCGACGGTGAAATCGATCTTCGTTTATCCGATCAAATCATGCAGGGGCATTTCTGTTTCACAAGCACTCCTTTGTTCTACCGGTAATCAATTATTAAACGCCCTTCTTCCTCCATTTCTCTACCTACCATTTCTGATATTTGCGGCCAAAAATCAGATTCAAATCTCCAAATTCGATCAATGAAAAGAAAGAATTATGTTTAACCTACTTTTTAGATTCAGTAATAATAAGGTACAGCTCTCGATGCAAATCGTACAACTCTTTACAGCGTTATTGCTGGAATTTGTCCTGATTTTGGATGTATAATCTGGTGGTACTTTCTGCATCGAAACTTGCACCTCTGATGAAGCAATAACATATTAAAATTGTAATAAATTTACGTGATTTCTTCCTGTTTTGATTGGAATTTAAAAGATGGTTATTAAAATCATTGTACTTTTTAAGTTCATTATTTTGACCCAAAATCAGAAAAATGATAAATAATACAATTGATTTATTGATGTAAAAAATGTCTGATCGTTCTAATAGACGGTTTTTTACAAGACTTAATTGATAAAACCAAACAATAAAGTATTATATCTAAATGTGTTATGATAGGTTTTTAAAATTGTTTTAGGCCTTATGACAAGTTTTTTTAAGACTTAAAAAAACCTGTCCTATTAGCTATTTTATAGCATATTATTTGAAAAAATATCATATTAAAACAAATGTTTCATAAAAATTTGTCAAGACGCACCGAAAACTCATTACAACACTTAAAAAAAAAGATGTTTTATTGTTTGGTCTAATAAACTTAACTCTTAAAATTTTACACCCTCAACCACAAGGGTGGTGCCTGATTGGTTTGAGCTTGACTTCAAAGGTCAAAAGTACCTGGAGGTCCTAAATTCAAATCCAAGAAGGAATAAAAATCCCCTTGTGGCCACAGAGGTTTAAATGCGGTGACTCCAGACTATCTGCAAAGCAAGTGGTCGTCATAGAATTAGTCGGCTCGCATAACGAGTTGGATATTCAGGTTAATAATTTTTTTTACACCATCCTCTATTACATGAATGCAAAGCTAGTTAAAAATAATGCAGATTCGTAAATTAATAAATAAACTCGTTATATTATAATTATTTAATTAATTTATTTTTGGTACAGGGTTTGTGTGGGATCGCCAGTGGGTGGTTGTGAACTCGAAAGGCAGAGGGTGCACCCAAAGAGTTGAACCAAAGCTTGCTCTGATTCAAGTTGAGCTACCCATCGAGGCTTTTTCTCAGGGTTGGGTGCCCAAAAACACTTCTTACTTGGGTATACATTTTCTTCCTTAAACAAACCGGCAATAAACTGTACTTCGTGGCGTATTCTTTTTAATAGAAAGTGCGTGTAGATGTGTTCACTACTTTAGCCTGTTGGTGGATATCTTTGCAGAATGTAGAGTTGCTGACGGGACGACCCACTAAACGTGGTCCTTCCAGCCCGCTAGCAAATCGGGCTTGGACAACCATTTGTGAAAAAACGTGCTCAGACTGGCCCGTTAAGATTAGAGGGGTGACACGAGTGATAGAGTAGAAAACATTATTTCAAACAGCCTGTTTATATTCTTTTCAGAAAAATATAATTAATTAAGTTTTATAATTGATACTTTTTTTAATAAGATTTAGGGGGTGTTTACCAAACACTTACCCAATAAGCATCTAGCGGTAAAATACAACACTATCATTTACTTACCGGGTAAGATTTTAGTCAACAAAAAACGGCTTTCTATGCAACAATTACCCGGTGGTAAGAGTCATTGCCCTCACTTACCAGGTTAGACTCTAGGTCCTTGCCTCGTTTTTTACCTGGTAAGATTCATGGTCCTTTTCATGATCATCCGATGAGGTAATGTAACTTGGTAAGCGCTTACCCAAGTAAGCATTTGGTAAACGGGCAAACGGCCCCTTAGTAGAAGCCTATACATTGTATCTATTTCCCTAATTAATACTTGTACTAACAAATTTTTTATGAAACTTTACTTTTTTTTTAGCTATCCTAAGAATATGCATATAACAAGTTTTATTTTAAGTTGGAAAGAAAATGGTGTATTTTGAATGATTTTACATAGCTCATAATTTTACGTGGGTTATGTTTTTTTTTGTCTTTAAAGGTAAAAGACGTTTTTGGCCCGTAAGGCTATGGTCAAGCTTGAACTGTTTATTGTTTATAGGGCGAGTATGGACGACTTACCAAGCCTATAAAAAGGTTTGGTTTTGCTATATTAATCCCGACCCTCGTTGGCCCAAACTCACAAATGATAACCTTAGCAGAATGAGTGGAAGGGTTGGTGTTTGACTCTTGCTAGACATCGCCCACCTGCCCCCGAGACACGCGATTTTTACCTCCCCCATAAAGCCGTGAGACAAATGTTTTCATAACTTTTGTAGTATAGCGGCCGAAGCTTATTGCACCTTATAACATCCGAACAAATGTTTTATTTCTGCGGGTTGTGGTCATACTACCATATATTCGGACTCGTTTTTGACCATCAGTCCTAATTTTTAGCAAACATTGAAAATGTCTTCTTCAAGGCCAAATGTATCAAGAAATATCAGTTTTAAATTGGTGTTGAACACACTTGATCTTGTTGCGGCAGTGGTACGTGCTCCTGGGATGGCTGAGCTCATGGTCCCATTGACTAAACCATCCTTACAGTCTGATGGGGTCTCGGTCTGGGAGTGGTCAGGCACGGCCTTGGATGAGGGAGACAAAGCTGCGAAATGGTTCACTGATTTTCTTGGAAAACCTAGCCGCTTAGTCCGCTTTAACGAAGGTACAATTGATCACATTTCTACGATATGTTCTTCAAATATATATATATATATATATAGTGGACGTTTCAAATGCAAACCATCACATATGTACAACCAATGCAACCCAATAAATTGAGATATTTATGAAAATGATGAGAGTTCATTTATTATGATTTGAATATTGATGGAAGATGACTATGACTTATTAATTATGATCGATACTTTATATTAGAAAACAATCAAAACTTTTATGAAATCATTTATTCATCAATTTAAATGGACAGTTAAGATTAAGTTGTATTGGTTGTACAAATGTAAAGGGTTGTATAATAACTCACATCTCTCTCTCTCTCTATATATATATATAATGTACAAACATACAATACGAGAAAGATTAATTTGTTCTATTTTCTCCATATATAGATTCAGAGACTAGACCCGTTGACCCTCTCTATGCTCCTGGATTTAATGTGAAATTTACAGATGCTTTTCCAGTCCATTTAATCTCCCAGGTTAGCCATAAAGCATATTTTTAGAGTAAATTTTTTTCCTTTGAATTTGTTGAAAGTTATAGTTTGTGCATATATATGCCACCCCGAAATTATCTGTGTTATAGATCGGAAAAGACCTATTACTAAGAAAAAATGGGTCATGCCGAAAGGAACGCTGGCCGTATATCTATACTATATTCTAAAGCATTTAAATTTGACAAAAACTCTTAAAAACCACTTTTTATGCGTAAAGTACTGTTTATTAATGCATATTACATAAAACTCAAGATTGCAAGTAGATTATGCGTAAGTACAATCTATTAAAGCTCCATATCTGAATTCGTGTAACTAACTGCAGATAGACATAATCAAATACAGGATAAACATCTCATTTTAAATATAAAAAATCTAAAATATAATTAGGATAATCATTGAGTTCTAATAGAATACTTAATTATTATCTTTATAAAATGTTATATTATTAAACCAAAAATAAATTATTTCGTTATTAAACTTAAATTAATTTATAATTAAAAAAAAATTTAAAAAATTTACATAAAAAATGAGAACTTTTAAATAGTTGATTTGATATTAACATTGATATATTTTTTTTCAAATTTTTATGATATCTTCAAATTTATATTTTCTTCAAAAATAAAATCATTAATGCTTTCTTAAAAACACAGAAAATCGTATTATAACATCGACAGGGACAAATAATAAAATAGAACATTARAATCGAGATGTGTTTCGCTGCATTGTACGAGTACTCTTCTAGTATTTTTTTTAGAGACAGAAGTATTAATCATATCGAGCATTTCAAACTGAACAGTTTCCAAGATTAAATTTGCTGGTTACCACGTGTGTTTGGTCGTAAACTTGATTGATTTATCTTATGAATTCTGCAGGCTTCCTTAGATGCTGTGAATGAACAACTAAAGGAACCTGTCAACATAAACCGGTTTAGGCCCAAGTATGTCTTTTAGTTTACACTTATCGGCATGCATTACAACAAAAGCGGATTTATTGGATGCCAAATATGTCGAAATGTCAATAGACTGTTTTATAGAATTTAAGTTTATAGAACCAAACACTTGTGCGTTCCATATAAAAGTGTTGCGATAATTTGATAGGACGCTTTGGGGCATCCTAACAAGTGTTTAGGACAACTTTGAAATGAGATGTCGCTTTTTTATATGACAATATTTGAAAAAGTATTGTATAAAAACAAGGGCCTATATGTAAGAAAATGTGTTCTATAAAAACAAGCGTCATGTAAAAAAGTTAGTAAGACACTTTATTTCAAATTAATGTGTCTTAAAAAACTTGTAATGCCCCCAAGAATGTCAGATCAACTTACCGTGACGTATAATTGTTTCATCATATAAACTTAAAATCCTATAAGTAATCTAGTAGGATATTTAGACTTATTTGACGTCCTATAAAATTGATTTTATTTTAGTATGGGGATCCAAACTAGTGTTGATAATTGCACTTTACAAGTTACAACCACTCTACACACTTCTTGCCTTTTATGCAACGAATTTCTCATGGTCGTGGAACTTTTGGACTTGTGCAGCATTTTTGTCGATGGTTGTGAACCATTTGCCGAGGATCTATGGAAACAGATCAAAATTAACGAGTTGACTTTTCAAGGCGTCATGCTTTGCCCCCGTTGTAAGGTATTGCAATATGTTTACCTCAAATGTGTAGTTGAAATGAAACATTTATCACATGTACAATTAGAGTTTGTCTAATTTCTATCTTAAAAATTTGAACTTATGCACTTCTCGAACTCAAAATACTTAATTGGATCAATTAGGCGAGATATTATAAACGAGAATCTTTCTCAGGTACCCACAATCAATCAAGAGGATGCGATGCAAGGGAGTGAACCAACTGAAACCATGATGAAGTTTCGATCAGCCAAAGCCTTGGAAGTGAATGCTACAAAAACAAAATACAAGGGACGGGTGAGTGCCAAAACTTGAGAAAATAATAATGGGTGGAGTAGCGTACATACTCTAATTTGCATTTTGACATAATCGAGTCACTAGTATCAACGTGTTCCCTCACTTTGTCCTTGCGACTTTGGCTACCGGTAAGGAGATGGGTTTCCTTGCAGAATAAGCTCTACCTGGGACATGTGATTTAACTCCCCCATTATGGCTGTGCGACACGTACTATTAGGGCTCTTTAGAGGGTGGTGTCACCATGTTCTCTCATATTACTACAACAAAACGGGTGGTCTTTTAGTACACTCAACCGTCATTGGGAGTTCTAATAAAGTACTATGTTAATAGGACCAATAATTGGGTGTCATATCTGTAGGCATTATAATAAGTTGTTCTGACAAAATTAAACGCACTAATAAATTTTATCAATAAAGTTGAACAGCCTAATAGGACACCAAAAATAAATGATCCTATTAATATTTTTATGATGCTCGAAAAGTACCTGTTATAGCACTTTCATATATAGGACATTTTCCAAAAATGTCATATAGAAAAAGCTAATCGGATGATTTTACTTTTTGTGTCTTATTAGATTGTCCATCTTCATGGATAGAACTTGTTAGGTTACATAACTTTGTTTTGATGACTTATTGTAACGCCTTTATATAGTTTTTACTTTTTATAAATTCAAAGTCCCATTAAGCATTCTAGTAGCCATTAGGACGCAGGTATGCCCTAAAAGACGAGTTTTTTTTAGTAGTGCATGTAGCGGCGCACGAGGTCTACATGTGAGGATATCAAGGTCCAAATAGGTGTGAGGCATGGTGTGGTGGTGAGGTCAAACCTTAGATTTAGGAGCCATGGCGATGCCATGGTGTTTTTCAAGGCATGACTTACTGCGCGCGGCAAATATTTACATCATATAAATTACTATAAACATATATTTTCTACTATTATTCCATGCGTCAATGATATTAAAATAATTTAAATTAGGTTATACGTTAGAAGTAACAAATAGAACACTAAAAAAAATAAGAAAAACCAAATATTGCGTTACAAAAATTGTGCATTAGGTTATGGCATGCCATAGGCTTAGCATGATGTGACACACATGGCGATGTCACCATGTGTGTATATATGTAAGCACATTATATACAATGCAATCACATAGATGACATGTTCTCAATAAAAACCAAAGTAAACCACAAACGCTTAGTAAGTTCCACCCAGAACCAGAAGTAGGTTCTGCGACGTGTGATGTATATATAACTGACTTTTATTCCAAAAAAGTAGATGACATGTTCTCCACGTGGGATCAATATGTAGTGTTACGATATGAAGCCGTGGGGCTAATTGGTAGCATTTATGACTCACTATTCATATGTCGAATGAATTTTGTAGGTTTACCTTGGACAAATGCTCGTGTGTGAGGATAAAGATAGCAGTTGGAGGAAGGTTATCAATGTTGGAGACATTATTCATGTTGAAAAGATACTCCCGTCATATGCAGATGTTGCCGTTTGATCCTTTAATAGCTATAAGTATGCTAATAATCAGTTTGTTGTCGACGCCATCAAACTTCGACATCATGACAACCCTTGTAATAAGGCCGTAGTCTCTAATTTCTTGTTGGATAATTGAGCTTTATTAAAAATGCAAAATTTGTGTTTGTGTTGATGTGAAGGGGTATTTTAGCCATTTCGTTTATGGTGAGGGGTATTTTAGTCATTTTAATTAATTAGTGCAATTTACAAAGGTTCCAATGTTTTTAAATTAAGGAGATGATATAGTGCTTTTGAGTAAGTTTATAGACCTAATGATTGGGTCTTATTCATGGACGACCCGTTGTCAGTATCGTTCAGTTAGGCAAATCGTCTTTTGGTAAAAATATTGGGAAGCAGTTTGACCGATACATAGGCACGGACCACCGCTTCATGATTCCGTCATAAAGGAAAAAAATATGTTTTTAAGAGATGCCACTGTATCATATTGTTGGATGCCACTACCCGTTCCTGACATTTATAGGTCCAAGTGAGATGTAAAAGAGGCCCTCATCATGTATGAAATAATCTTCAATATATTGTTTTTATTATTAAAAATAACATTGAATTAAAAAAATACTAATAATTCATATAAAAACATTTTTGTGGGCGTTCCTAAATGCAAAATCAAATACTTACTATTTTTAAATTAACATTATCTTCCATATTATTTTTACACAACATTATTTACATATATATATATATATATATATGTGTGTGTGTTTTAAAAGTTTTTCTTTCTTGTGTTTGTTTGTAGACTGTAGCATCAAATTAATGTTTACATGATAAGTATTGTGTTTGTAGTACGTATATGCTAAGTAGCTTGAAAGCTGCAGCTAAAAACTATGGTAAGCCAGAATAAATGGGGCAGCACTGGACCCATGGATGCCTGGGAAGACACCAATTTCTTCAAGAAGGAAGGAATGTGGTGGGTGGAACATTGTGTATGGTGACTTCTTCCTCTCAAATGCATGGCATTCTCAAATGTTAATTAGTAGATCAGTGAGAAAAGTATTCTCAAATCTACTTTTTGCATCAAGGATCTCAACCAATTTTATTGATTTCAATATGTAAAGCAAATAGTTAAGTTGTAACCACCTGTTTAAAACCCCTCAATATCCCATAGAGCTTCAAAGAGTCAGAGTGGATCTTTTTTGTTTTAAAATTAAAGTTGTAACCACCTTTTTGATCACATTCGTTGGATTAAATCTATCTAAAAGTTGATATTTGTTTTCAGGTTTCCATCATTTTTGCTGGTTCCATTTGAACCTCCCTATATTGTTCTTTTTATTACAATCAACTTTCTTGTTTTATAGGTGACATCTTGTTAGTCAATCGGCTTTCATCAACCTATTTGAACGGTCCAACGGTTTTTTTGAATACCCCTACTATTTGCTTAGCTACTCTCACACCCTCTACTAATTACTATGCAACAATTCCTATAAGCGGTCATATCTTCGATAGGCCTAAATTTGTAAAATTAATATTGCATATATTTTACAAATGTTCCTTCAATTAATATCGCAGTATGATTAAGGACATAGCAAGATAAAATTGAATTGCAAAACGCTTTAACCCTCAACCTTTTCTTAATTAGGACTTTAAGTTAGTATTGATTAATTAATTTTTAATGTTTGTATATATAAAGAGTTTTTGTTATTGATTAATGACTTTTTTCATCCTTATGGTTTGTTGAAATTCTTTGTTTTCGTCCCTAGTCTTCTTTTTTCATTTCACACACGTAACGGCTTTTCCAAGCCTTGAAAATTTGCCTCCTGTTACAATGGTTGATCGAGTCAGCTCATCAGAAACACTCTTTTGTTTTGACAGGAGTAATGCAACGGCGTCAATGTCAAAGACGGAAATAAAAAACTGGCCAAAAACAGAAACTTTCAACAAAACCATATTGGCGAAAAACTTAATTTATTCTTGATTAATTGGTCATCAAGGGTTGAAATAATCGGTCTCAGATGAAACTTAACAACAATATTTATGAACTCTTAGTTAATAAACGAGCAAAAAATCATTGGCTATCAATTTTATTTTGTTGCGTTCTTAATCATATTTTTAGTTTAAACCTTATCAAACTCAATTTGTCTGATTTATTATGTATCGAAGTTAAAAATAAATAATTTCACACCGACAATTAAAATAACATTAATATCGAAAATCAAATTATAATATTTTATGAAGATTACGAATAATATTTTACAAATTTCGGATACAATGAACACTACTAGAATAAAGACTATTTCCGGCGGCCGGAATCCGTCGGAAACTTATCGGCGGATTTCCGCCGGTAAATTAAATTAATTGTTTTAAAAAGACTTAAACATTTTCTTAATTTAATCACGATTTTAAAAATAAACCGGCAAGAAATTTCCGGCGGGCCTGATCCGCCGGAAAATTGTAAAATACGCCGCTGTTTCCACCGAAAAATACACCGGCGCCACTTTTTCCGGCGGTAGTATCCGCCGGAAATTACAGTTTTTGGCGGATACTGCCGCGGGAAAAAGTGGCTTGTTTGGTAGTGGAATTGAGGAGTAACATCATGTATTTATAATGATTTTATGTGGATTTGTATTGGTTCTTTAGAGAAGACTTTAGCCGTGATGGTCGAAAATCAAGCTTCTAACTATTGCAGCTCCATCATAAACCACAAAATTTAACATCTTCGATCAAGCTTCTAACTGTTTTCCTTGCGGTATATATACAGTATATCACTATATATGTTTGTGTGTGTTTCAAGTTGCACATAGATAGAGTTGGGAAGAAGATCACTACCAAACAGGGGAACTTTTCCGGCGGCCATTAAATAATTAATTTTTTTAAAATTGGATAGCTATTATCGGCGGACTCCGGATCCGCTAGAAAATTTTGAAAATAAATATTAATTCTTAATTATTTTCCGGCTGATCTTAATTTTAAAAAAATAATTAAATATCCGTCGGAAATCCGCCGGTAAATTATTGTAATTAGATATAAATACAATTTTAAAATAATTAATTAAGAAGTCCGCCAGAAATATTACTAGAATAATATTTCCGGCGGTCAGTTGACTTTTTTGATGTCCACCGGTAATCTAGCGGAAATGGTCCGCTGGAAATATCTCCGAAAATACCCATTATTCTAGTAGTGGGTGAGTTCTTGTAGAGGGCTCTTGAAATGGTAACAAGTGTTGAGTAATATATGAGCTCTTTCTCGTGAAAATATGTGAGTTTTTTATTATGGACATTTATTTTAGAAAAGAGGGAGTATGTAATAATATATATATATATATATATATATATATAATTTTTAAAAGAAAATTAAGAAAATAGGATAGAAAAACTAAAATATCCTTATTTAACGAATCTTTATAACGGAGTTATTATTAGAGACCATATTCTAATCTTCAAAAGAAAATCCGAACCACAAACATGAGTTTTAACTTATTTATGGGGTGTTTGCGATTGCTTATTTGAAACAACTTATGCTTTTCTACAAAAAACGTTTATCCACTTATTATAAGTTAGAAGAGTTTAACTTCTTCAAAAACTCTTTATTACCGGTTTGACACTGGTATAAGCTGTTTATCCAAACACTCAAAAATGCTTATTACCGGTGTCACACCGAAATAAGTTAATAAGTTGTTTTTATAAGTCAATAAATGTTAGGTATGACTCCATGAGATTTCATTAACCCTCAAGCAACAAAATTGTAGTTTGCAGACAAAAAAAACTTAATGGATGACCACAAGGATAGCCTTTTTTCCAAAAAAATTCACCCATTTGAGTCTCGATGGCTGCCGCCATGCTTCAAATTTAGGTGAAGTTTTGGAATTCCATTTTTTGTTTTCCTTTTTCTTCATCCTCATTTTTGGTCCCATTTATAGCACCAAAGATTTATTTGGTTTTAGTTGGGTTTTAGTTATTAGATGTTTGTTTAGCGATTTGTTTGATTGCCTTGTGTGATTAAAGTTATCGATTTGGTTGATTTGCTTACGTGATCAAAGTTATCGATTAGAATTAATAATAAATCTTGGGTATTTTTGGGTCGGGTATAAAGTGGACTCAATAGTTGATAAACGTTGTGAAATTAAGGTACAGATTCCTATTATTTGTTCATTTGATTCGTTTACATATATTTACGAACCCTTAAGCTTTCTTTCAACTCAGATTAATTGACACACGGTTATTTGATTTGTTCGTTGCCACATTTCCTTTCACTTGTATTTGTTCTATGTTATACATTTTGCAAGAAAGCCTTGACCTAAACATGTAATTTAAGTTATTCTATGTTGGTATAAGTATGAGTTTTCTCCAACATATTACGTTTATTTGTTTGGTAGCATTTTGAGTATGATTTTTACCTCTAAATGCACATAAGTTGGTACTTGTGATCAATTATGTATCTTTCAATTTGAGCCTCTTGATTGTTAAGACTTCTTGTTCATCCAATGTTTTTGACTTTGGTTATGTTTGATTATTCATTTGATTTTGATACGTTTTGATCAAATTTGAGACTACGACGTCGCATTTATCTGACAAATTAACTTCGGGTAAGTCGAGCTACTAACCACCTATGGGGGTACCATAGGCACATCATCATGGCACTGATGGTGTGACATCAACCGTGGCAGTGTGATCAATCCATGACGTCTCCTCTTTTTTTTTTTTTTTTTTTTTTTTTTGCTTTTATGAGAACTGTCTTTGTGTGACAAATATTTTCTTTAGGAGGTGTATGAGTCGTCCCTAGCACATGTGCTTTGGTTTGTAGGGTGGGTGTAGTGTCCAACGTCGCATCTCACACTTAGTATGTGTGGATTTGCAGTTCAATGTACAGGCCTGTGTAGCCATATCTCTAGCACTTGTCGTATCGGTTGATGTGCAAGTGTATGTTTTTCTGAGCTCGATTTATCCCATCTTATATTATTCGTCATACCACATTATTTGTCATTTCTCTAAGATTTAGTACTTGCATTGTCTAATATCTTGAGATCATTTTTTTCTTGTTATATTAACCACTTTTGTTATGTTTTTATACATCCATGCACTAAGCAATTGGCTCAGCCGTGTTTCTTTTTCCTTTCTCTTGGCAGGTAATCAAAGGGGTTGCTAAGACTTTGTGAAGGAGAATAAATCACGTTCTCGATTG